ATGTCCTCGCCACTGCTTTCGTAGGCCATGATGTTGCCTGGGCTCCCGAACATCCAGTCGAAGAAAGAAAGAGGCTGGTTTCCCAGCGTACCGTGATCCACAGGAGTGAGCTCGTTGTTGCCAATAACGAACCGGCGGACGTATTCGAGGTAGTACGCGTACAACCCATGACCATGCGCCTCGAGCTCGTCGACGTTGTCCATGCAACTGACCCAAGTGTAAAATATCTGTTCCATGGCCTCAAAATCCTGGAGGCTCAGATATTCGATGAATGGTTCACTTGAGCCAAAATGGACTTCGGTCGACCTGCCCTTTCCATTTCCCTTCGCTGGACAATATCGCACAAGATGGTCGGCACTGTCGCACTCATGGCACTTAAGAACCTGGCCGTCTCTACCTCGCGGGTTCCCCCGCCTACCCTTGCCTTTTCCTGAGGTCTCTCTACGGCCCTTGCCGCGGCCCTTTCCCCCGAAGAGTATCTCATCATATTGCTCATCTGAGAGCCTCTGGAGGAATGCCGCGATGCCTCGTCCGTTCAACCTCCGACGACCTCGTTTACCTTTACCTTTTCCCTTGAAGCTCCTCCGCATCCTCCTCCTCGCACGACGCACTGTTTTTCGTGTGAACCCCCCCCCCCACCTCCGTTTAGCCTGTTGTAATAACCAAAACAAATGTTCAGCACGCTGATTGTCATTATCCATATTCATAATATCTGACCAACCTAAGGCTTCAACACCGTCTGATGATATAGTATCTGTGTCGGTGCCGGAGTCGAAATCCTCGTCTCCCAAGTAGGTGGATACACCGTCGGTTAGGGGGTTTGATTCACCCCATAGAGAAAGGGGTGTCTGTGGTTCTCTAGAAGGAGGGCTGGTTGCCCAGCTTGGTTGTGATCGATCTCCTGCTAGTAAATCAGTGGATTCTCCAGGATCATCGGCCCATATGCTTGAGGGCCCGTTCCCAGGCTGGGCTTCAGTGGTCAAGGTCGTGCAAAAGTTTTCACTGCCAGATCCCCTTCCCCTTCCGAACACAGATCCTATATTACCAGGAGACCGTTCAGATGGGTGGCCTATCGAACGCATCCTCTCCAGCAGCTCATCATACTGTTGTTGTGTTCGGGGCATTTGGTGGTTGAGTGGCTGTGAGAGTTGCATGGCTCGCTGGTTGCCGACGCCTAAGGCGCGGAACAGGATCGTGGTTAGTAGTTGGAAGTTGGGAAGGTCAAATCCCACCGACTGTGCCTCAAGTCGGGCCATGTCGAATCGGGTAAGGGTGACATCGATTCGTTATCCGTGAGGCACGTGGAAGTCGATGAGTTGTGTGCCGGAAGTGAGCTGGCGCTCATCTTCCAGGCGTTCGAACTTCATGCTTAGGAGGAACATGATGTAGGTCACTGGGTCGGTGTGGACCCCATCGATGTCAGCACCATAATTCATAATGTCAGGCGGTACCCTCATGGCGAGTGTCCTCGCTAGGACACCCAGGCCGCGTTGTATGGCGGCCGCTTGGGCCTGTGGCGTCATACGTCCGCTTGTGACGTTGAGCCATGCGTTGACCTCATAAGCGTATTCGCGGAAAAGGTACGTTGCCTTGAGGGTCCCAATATGGGCCATGTGTTTGCCCATCGGTGCTGTTGTCTCCACGACGCATGTGTCCGATTGCTGCCCCCAGCGCGAAACATATGATAGCGAAGATAACCAGCCCAAGGCTGTGTAGATAGGGGTGGTTATGAGGCGCGTTGCCGCGTTGGGGTAGCGCCTTGTCGAGTCTTCGAGGCGCTCTATCTGGCGGATCTCTCCGCCCATGCTTCAGGTATTGCGCTTTTGGCTCGTTGCCGAGCGGTTGGTAGTAGCGCAATGATGAAGCGTATATGGTACCAGTGTCGTTGTCTACACGTCGTGCCTCTCGTGTCGCTTCTTGCTCTTGGATAGATCCTCGTAAACGTACTGGGAGTGGTAGCGCAGGGTGGTAGGTGGTCACGAAGATCGTGCCGAAGAGTATGAGGCTAAGAAGAGCAAGAGCTGACCACACGAGAGTGCGGCCAGCTCCGCTACCAAGTCGAAAGTGAGCCCGGTAACTCAAATAGCATCCGATTCCGTAGACATCGGATGGCAAATAGCGTCCGGTATCGTACTGACGTGGTTCAGTAAGAGGAATGGACGGATAAGATCGGATAAGATCGATGTAGTGATCTTTCCAGCACATAGCGAACACTCGCGGTGTCCGGGCAAATAGGGCGCGCGTGCCTTGAGCCCAAGGCAACGGCGCGCGAGCTATGCTCCCGATGCTATAACATCTCCCAAATAGCTACCCTTAAAGTGAGGAGGCAGAGAATCCGAGGATCTACGTACTTTGGGATTGTTTTGACATTATTATCGCGCCTCTGAAGGCCTCGGAGGACCTATGGAGGAGAGGAGAAACGGAGGGACGAGCTTCTGCGAAAGAAACGCTTGCCGAATAAATACCCTGGCAACCCAAAGTCAGCCGCGACGCAAACGAACCCAAACCCGTGCTTCTCAAATCGATCAACAGAATTCTGACCCGAATGACATTATCATCTTCCTCCTGGAAAAATTGAGGACATCGGCTTGTCTGTGGACCTAACCAAAGCCGAAAGAGATCCCAAAGAGAGCCTATAGAGACCCCTTAATGACTTCCAAACTTGCCCGGAGATAGCCCATGGTCCGGGTAAACTGCCAGCATCGATAGATCCGAAAAGGCATCAATGGTTGACTCCCGGGCCTGCTCAGGCTGATGCCGATCTTCGGCTTAACGGCTGCCAGGTTGGATGACGGCGGCGACGACGGCGGCAGCGGCGGCGGCGACGACGCCGAGGACGACACCTCGCTGCTCGCACGGCTCGGAAGCGCGCGACATCGGCATTCGCATGCCTGTACGAAGGCACGCGCGGCTGTATACTTCCCAGTCGCCCTGTGACAGGCGTCCCCCAGGGCGGAGAAGCATCTCTTCTGCCTCTCTCCCTGTCAGCGCACTCGGAGGCCTTCGGAGGCCTTCGGATGCGATCGGAGAACACGAGCTCCCCCGCCCCCACGCCGCTGACGCGGATGACGCTCACAAAACAATACACCATAATCTTAACACATATCCTCGAACAGCGAAATAATCTCAAAACAATGATTGGTCCTCTTTGTCTGAGCACCTCAATACAAACCATACCAACAATAATTGTTTTAAACCAAATCATCTTTATAACAAGCTCTATTTCAAAATCGTAGAAACAATAACAATGAACGTTGGCTTATCTCCTCTCCTGGTCCGCTTTTTACTCAGGGAGGAAGCCCGCGTCGACCTGCAGCCGCGTGGCCCTGGAAAAGCAATGCGCGCAGCGGCGGCCACTATATCCCACGCCCAACTTGGTCAAACTACGCTGAGGCCCGCTGGCAACACCACAGGGGGCTTGCGAGAAAAACTCAAGACTCGGGAATATCAAAGAGACGGCCTCCAAACCAAGAGGCGGCCTGAACATCACGCACAAGGGGAACCGCCTCCGGATCCAGAGGCGGCCTGGACATCAATGGGCCAAGACAGTTCTAAATTCCCGAGGGCGTGGGATAGGCCTCGGGTCCGACAAATGATTTCTGGGTCATAAACTTGGCTCTCGGGCAGCCGTTCGGGACGATCCAGGCTTAGGTCGGGCCTGTCCCCCTACAAGCGAATTTTGGGCGAAAAATTAAAAATAGCCTATACGCCCCAAATGCCCAAAAATCTAACAAAAAACCGTCCCCAGACTATGTTTCGACTATTCTTGAGCATTCCTCCTGTAGAGGGACACGCCCGACTTCAATCCAGGCACCCCACGGAACGCGCTCGGCGAGGCGCAGCCGCTGGCACGCGCCCCGAGGCTGGGGAACAGCGAAAGAAAAACCAAAGGCGCGCAAGTGAGTTCCAAATGGGTTCCTGGGTCCTCCCTTGGCCCTCCGGCAGCCGTTCGGGACGATCCCGGCAGCCCCCGGAGCGCTCTCGGCGAGGCGCAGCCGCCGGAATGCTTGCCCCGAGGCCGGAGAACACAGCGAGCAAAACCAGCGGAAACGCCCGGACACCTCGGCGCGCCGCCGCCTTTTCGCAGCCGAGCGACTCGGTCCGCAGCTCCCCGCGTCTCGACGAGACTTCCTCCGACGGCCGTCGTCGTCGTCGTCGTCGGGCGCCATCAGGTTAAAACTTTTGGCCCAGCAGAGTTTACTTGCACGGCATCCCCCCCCGCCGTCCTCTCCAAACTGCGCTGGGCCGATCAGACGCGTCCAGGCAAGTCCCGACCTGCGTGACGTGCGAATCTCCGTTCGATATCCTGTCGGGCCTCGCAACACACCCCCGCTTCCACGCATGTAAACATCATGAAACTAAAGAACAACCGCCTCCATAGAGGCCTCCCAGATGGGGTCTGGGAAAATGGGGTCGGAGGAACGCGCCGCATCGCCGATGAATCGACGATGCATCGACGACATCGGCGACGCATCGGCGACGCCAGCGTGGAGAACATCGGGCTCCGCATCGAGCCGCATCGCCGATGCATCAGCGGTGTCGCGCGATCCTCCGACCCTATCTATTCCGACCCCATACAGGACACCTAGAACTAGATCTGGCATGTCCTTCCACGAGGATTTCAGAACAACAAACACACATAGTCAAACACATTCGCAAATAGTCAAACATACTAGAGGAAACGTCCGCAGAGTTGTTTTGACGATTCGAAGAAAATCCTCCTGCAGAGGGACATGGCCGACTTAAACTTAAACGTTCGAGTTCGACGAAACCTGAGGTCCGGGCACCCACTTTTCACACATCCCGCTCCCTCCCCCGCCGTCCGTCCCACCAGCCCCCATGTAGCAGCTCTGCGACGACGACGACGACACGACGACGAGGGAGCGGCGACGACGACGACGCTGAAAACGAAGAGTGCCTGCGACGACGGTCGACGACGGCGACCGACGATGCCGACGACCGACCCAGGGCCGCTGGCGGTGGCGGCAGCGGCGGCGCGCCTGCGCCGCCTCGAGCTGCGCCTGGAGCTTCGCCTGCAGGCCCCTGTCGCGGCCCGCGAAGTACCCCTCGGGCGGGGCGGCCCTCTGCGCCGCGTCCCGCCGCTGGCCGCTGGCGCCGTCGGTCGTCGGTGTCGTCGGCGCCATCGGCGTCGTCGCCTAAGGCGACGTCGTCAGCGTCGTTGCCGGTCACCCTCGGCGTCGGCATCAGCGGCGCCGTCGGCGGCCGCTCTGGCGCCTCGTTGTCGTCGCCGTCGTCACCGCGAGCGCGGTTGTCGGCGGTGGTGCCGTCGTCGTCTTTATGCCCCTTCCCCCCCTTCCTCTCCAACCTTCCTCTCCGCCTCCGGGTGCTTTCCTACAGATGTCCTCTTTCAGCCCCGTTTCCTGATGCACCCGCTGGCCTTGCGCCCACTTTTCGTCCCCACATCGCCCTTTCGCTAACGCCTCACCCCGTCCCCAGTCCCGCTGATTGTCCCGTGTCCCGTGTTGCTGCAACTGCTGACATTGCAAGGCCGAAACAACCCAACAACGGACGTTGCATGTAGGCGCGCACATATTTGTAATGTTGCATCGATAAAGGACTGACTCTACGGGCGGGGGGATGGAGGGCATAACGTCGCGCCCCACCTCCCCCGCCGTGTGGGTCCGACTATGAAGAATGTGGCGACGGACGCACTGCGGCAGCGCGGGGGGCGCACTGCGAGGGGGGGCGTTTCGTTATGGGGCGGAAGCAGGGGTGGGAGGATTAAGGGCAGAACGCGCGTTATGGCCCTGAAGGACGCCACCGAGGAAACCCACATACTGATTCGAACTTGTTTGTGTTTGCTTACGATTAACGCAATACCCTGCTTTCTGTACGTTCAACGAGCACGTTGTCCAGATTGCCATCCAAAAACGTCGGCCAATTATTCTCTCGTTCTGTCCACGTGTCCTCCTACATCTCTCCGACGGCACATTCTGAACTGCGCGCGCAAAGAAAGTACAAGCCAACGTACACGGTCAACATGCAACATGGAGTACACTTTGACGGAACATAGCTGGGCTACGACTGGCGCGAGTACATAAAAAACGTGCATGCGCTCTTAACTGGTCAGGAAATGGCGAGGGCACCGAGACGTCGATGTAGCTTGAAATCGCTGCCTTTGTCGGAAAGACTCCGGCGCCAGTTTCCGCCAGGACAGCAGGGGACTCTCAATCTTGGGCGGCATGAGCGCCCCGCGCAGCTAACGGCGCTTGCTGCCTGCGATTATGAGTACGGGCGCGCCCGCGTGAAACCGCAAGCGCGCTGAGCCAGCCTAAACCTGGGTGTCTACACTGTTTTCTGATACCTGGGCTCTCGTCCGCGCTAAAGGACGACCCCCTGCGCCCCTCATCAGGCGTCGAGATTCTGCCACGCGCGATACGCTTTACGAGCCCGAAACTGCTGGAGACCGCGCTGCACGACCACTTCTTTTCCAGTGTCGAAAGACTGCTGCACCTGCCAAACTTTGCGAGCACGCGACGGAAAGCACCCCCGCCCCCTGCGCACCCACTCTGTCGTCCAAGGACTGCCACGCCTGCCACGCTGTGCGAGCCCACGACGGATCAGGCCCCCACCCACTGCGCACCCCGTCTGGTGCCCAGGAAGTGCCACGCCTGACACGCTTTGCGAGCGCACGACGGATAGCGCCGCCCACCCCCTGCGCACCCCCTCTGGTGTCCAGTCAGTGCCACGCCTGCCACGCTTCGCGAGCTCACGACGGATAGCGCCGCCCACCCCCTGCGCACCCCCTCTGGTGTCCTTTGTTGTGCCGCACTGCGTGTGCCTCTGATGCGCCTTTATGTGTACGAAGCATGCGTGGGAGCGTCGTGTGCGTATACCATATACCAGATGCGTGTATGCACGTGTAGGAAGAGTGGTGATGGGTAATGTGGTGAGGTGGGTGGGGAGAAAACCCAAACCCCACCTAGCATGGGGAAAACACTTTCCACAGGCGGTGGGAGGAGGGGGAAGAAATGATTGGGGGAGGGAGAAAAGGGCCCCAAAGGTCTCAGTAAGCCTCTGGATGCCCCCAGTGAGGTCCCCCCGTCAAACAAGCATATTAGTTCTGGCGATTCTCCCCCCCCCCCCAGGAGACTGCTGCGAAGGGTCTCGGTGCCTGTCGCGTGGGATTCTCAATTGGGGAGTAACCGATTGATTGTGCGTGGTGGCTATACATATGATGCGCGTTCCCGATGTATTTGCGCATGTCTCGAGGGGTGGGGGAGGAGGAGGCAGAGGACGAGAGAGGAGGAGGAGGAGGAGGAGGAGGAGGAGGAGAGGAGGAGGAGGAGGAGGAGGAGGAGGAGGAGGAGGAGGAAGGAGAGGAAGAGGGGTAAGAGGAGAAGAAGGGGGAGGAGGAGGAGGAGGAGGAGAAGGAGGAAGAGGAGGAGGAGGAGGAGGAGGAGGAGGAGGAGCAGATGCAGGTGGGGGGGGGAGAAGGACCAGAGAGACAGGCGGTCCTCGTCGGTCTGCGCGGCCGCGTCCGAGCGCGCAGCGCCGCCCGGAGCGCCTCGAGCGCGAGCGGCGGGGGGGCAGAATGGGGCAGGGACGGCGGCGCTGCTGGAGCCAAGGGCAGAGAGAGGGACGCGCGCCACCACCGTGACCACCTGGAGGCTGGAGACGAGGATGGTTAGGGGTGGGGTTGGTGTGTAACCCGATGCCCCTGAGAATCCCAAGTTGGGGATCGATAATGGCGATCGGGGCTCGGGGGGGATGATCAATTCATCGTCCCGGCAACTCGCATGTAGCATGATGTGTTCGTATGTTATATAGAGATGATCTGCTCGCCATGGCGGGACCTCCTTGGAGGGGTCGCAGGAGCACGAAACCTCAAGAATAGGATTGTCAAACGATGCCTTGCTCGCTCTGGCGGGGCCTACGTGGATTGAAAAAACGGAAATGATGAGAACCCCATGGGCCTGCCATGCCACACGTTCGTGATTTGAGAAAGCTGAAATGGAGTCCCATCTCCCCGACACACGTTCATAATAGTGTTGCTACTCAGGATAGCAATTTCGATTCGTACTTTTCCCAGCGATGATGAAGTTCGACCTTGCCGCCCGTTTCCCCCGACCAACGCTGTCTTAGAACGAGAAAATCAACTCTCAAGGGTTCAAGGGACGGTGTGCTTTCTCATCTGGGACATGCGGTTATCGCTTCGAGCGCTCTCGCAGAACACCATGCACACCCACATCCCGCCTCCCAGCTCATCCTGAGTCCCCCCAGGTGGTGGTGGCGCGCCTTCTGCTCACACAAGTTTGGAAGAACCTTCCTAAAACCTTCCAAAAACCTTCCTCAGGAGGGCTTTTGGAAGAACCTTCCTAAAACCTTCCGAAAACCTTCCTCAGTAGGGCTTCTTCGAAGAACCTTCCTAACACCTTCCAAAAACCTTCCCCAGGAGGCACCAGAGGGGGGGATAGATATAGAGAGAGAGAGAGAGTTACGTTTGCCAGGCCTATACTCAAGGAGTGTATATCCCCAGAGGGGATCCGATCACCCGGCTCCGCGTGTCTGCCATGCTGGGGCAGAGGGATGCCCTCACCTGGGCGACCTCCCCGCCCACCATGGCGATGCCAGCCCCTGGGGCCTGAACTTCTTAAAGTAGCAGGCTAAAGTAAACCTAAACATTGTCAACAAGAAGGCGTTTCCATCGGTTCTCGGCGGCTTTCCAGCCCCTGGGTGCGTTACAGCGGCTGCGCCTCACCGAGAGCGCTTCGAGGGTGCCACAGAAACGTCACGAGCGGCCGCTGAAGCGCCGAGATCTGACCCGAAAACCTCAGGGGTGAAACCGACCCTGAGATCCTGGCGCTGCATTTTCACACATATCCACTGCAGTATGGAGTTCCGGGCTCCCTTCCCGAACAACCCGAGGCGAACTGGATATAGATAACTTTGCCCCCTAGACACTCGGTTTTATCCATATTTAGTGCGCCTCGGCCTTGTGGCGTCCCTTCAAAGAAAGTCCACGACGCACTGGATGTGGATATACATCTTGCCCGCAACAACGGGCGATGTTTGCCTTAACGCGCGAACAGGGACCCTGACAGATCGATCCAGCTAGAAAAATGGTCCAGGCAGATAGGGGTTCAGTGCACCTGCGGAGTTCTTTACTTACGATGTCGCGATTACTTCTTCACGGTCGCGATTACTTCTTCACGTCGGATCTCAAGGAAAAGAGAGAGAGAGGGGGCCCGTTTTGCTTCAAAAGCTAACAACCCCTCAACATGCTGGTGGGTGTTGTTTGACCCTTTCCGTCGTTTTTTTTTGAGGAGCGAGGAATCTGGGGGCCTATCTTGCGGACAATACCAAGGTGGGTCTCCACTAAGCGAGCCGCCGCCACCTCCAATTGACTGAGCCCGCCGATCCTCGATCCTCCCTCCTCTTCGACCCGCTTCCAGGAGACACTGGTGACCCCCGGTGGCGAATCTGAAGGGGAACGTCTAGGTGGAGCGAGCCAGCACAGGAGGGGAGACATCGACCTGGAATCGGCGATACTGCGTGCAACCGACGCTGCGGATCAGAGCCAGTCTGCGCTGTGGGCGCCTGCGGGGGGGGATGCCCCGACCAGCACGTGCTTCGAGCGCCCAACAGGCATACTCGTATTAGCCAGCGTGGACCCCAAACACAGCGCGTCTGGCAGCACATGCACCACATGTTGTGCAATACAGATGTGGAGCAATCCATGTGGTGCAATCTACGTGGTGCAAGCTACGTCGTGCAACATTTGTTGTGACATACGCGTTGTGCAAGATACGAAGTGCACCCAAGGTAGTGCAATCGATGCAATGCAAAGTATTTGGTACCGTGTACGTCGTGCAATACATATGGTGCGAACAACGTGGTGCAAGTCATATACACGGTGCAGTATACTGGGTGCAACCTATGCGATTCAATCGACGTGGTGCAATCCATGTGAGGCAATGTGCGTTGTAGAATATATGAGGTCAAACTTCGCGGTGTAAAATACGTGGTGCAATTGACCACACTGCACCGCGCGTGACCACCTCCAACATTCGTGGAAACATCCCACCGTCTGACCCGCAACTTGACAAGCAGAACTCATACTCAGGCGACGCCGGCAGGCCCGATGAGCCCCCGAGTGCACGGCTGCGACGCGCTGAAGGACCTCATGCTGCAAGACGTGCGGATGAGATCATGGCGGCCTCGAAACTCCCCCTGTGGGGGGGTCCCTGCGAGCCTCCTCGTGCAATCCTCCGGAACCCCAGCTCCAGGAAGGGAGCGACAACGGAGAAATGTTGAAAATGGAACGCAGCAGCGCGCAGGGGGCAGAGGAGAGAGGCGTCAGGAAGAGAAGGGTGTCCCCTCTATTCCCTGCAGGGCAGTGGCGCGCAAGGAACAGAAGAGTGGCCCCGCAATTCCCACAGGGGAGTGACGGACATGTGGCCCGCATGGTGTTTTTGGATCGGGCTCCGTCCCAGAAGCCTTTCCCTCTTCGACCAGCGCATGCGCACCGCGTGGAATTGCTGGACAGGGGCTCGCGCCACAAGCTCATCATCGATAGACGCGTGTGGCCCGGATGGAATTCTTTAACAAGGATCATGCCTCCGGCAAGCGCGCGAGAACGTTGAAATCAGTTCGACATGCGCGTGCGAAAGCCTCCGTGGAAATGTCACTTGAACAAATATTGGTCCCCCGTGACTCCGCAAGAGCGCGAGGGATGAAACATTGAAAACTCTGTGTGGAAGAACCACTGGGTTATTGATGTTTGTTGCTGAAGTCGCTACGGCAACAACAAGTTTTGGATGGATTTCGTCTTGAAGGCGCGAATGTGGCCCGCACCGTAGCATGTGATATGGATTCGTACCGCAAGCTCATCTTAGATCAACGCACGCGCACCGCCTGCTATTATGAGGATAAGAGGCGGTGTCGATACCGGCGTGGCTGGGATGGTCTGAGTTCATAGGGAGAATGATCTCGGAGGCAAAACATATGTAAATTGCAATACGTACCCTGGGGGCGGGCGGTTGACAAATCGGGGGGGGGGGGGATGGAGGTATAAACAAATTGTTCAGAAAAGGAAAATCTAGCCGGCGACGGGACGACGACGAGGCGGCCACGGCGAGCGTGGAGCCGCCAGACCGCCAGCAATGTCCAGACGACGAAGGGCGACCAGGCGGCGACTGCGAGCCCGGAGCCGCCAGACCGCCAGTCAGGCCCATTTCATTAAAAAGGAATAATGCGATTCCCTGAAGGCAAACACTTGTCGAGAAAGAAGCTTTCGGAATTCCAACGGGATTTCTTGCCGCCCCCCCTGGCGCGCGGAGCGTGTCGAGGTCGGCGCCGCCTAGACGGCCCCAGTGCCGATCCCACTCCCGCGCGCCAAGGCGCTCCTCGACGGCCCCTGCTGAGATGTCGAATGGTGGGTCGACTGCAGAATTTTTTGACCCCAAAATTGACTTGTCCGCCGGACCCATTGACAAACATGCACAAAGCGCGGCCCTGATGACCATGACGGACGGCGTGGCGACACCACGCCCGTCGTGGGGTGCGGCGCCGCGCCGGCCGCGCGCGAGAGGGGGCGAGCGGTGCCGCGGACCGCTGCCCCACCTGAGGGGCCGCCCGCGCACCCTCCCGCCGCCGCGCGCGGCCGACTGCGGCGCGAGGGCGTGAGAGACGCCAGCCGATCGACGGCGACGAAGGCACGGAGGCCCGCCGCCGCAAGAGACAGCGGCAAGGAGTAGGCCACGGGGGAGGAGAAAAGCGGCGCCCACCGCCGCTCGCGCCATGCGCGGGCGATGCGGCACCTGCGCAGCGCCGCTGCGGCAGGCGCGCGCGCCCCCCCTGCGCCGCGCCTGAGCGGATCGCCTGTGCGGGTGCGGCGGGCGCGCGCGGCGCGGCGCGCGGCGCGACATGCGCGCGCGCCTGCGGTGGGCAGCCCTGCCGCGTCTTGTGACTCTGAAACAAACAAGTGTGTGCAGCATCATAAGATGCTCGATACAATTACTGAACATTCGACGTCTCTTCCGTTGGTTCAACGGAAACACCGATTTGGGATCAAATCGATGCTGTGGTCGATCCCCGACTCGAAGAGCTTGGGCCCCCAGACCGTAGCCTTGAAAACCGCGGTGTGGGCAAGCTCGTGACGAGCGGCAGCTGGCGCTGCTGGTGACAGCGCCCCCAGTTAGCGGAGGCGTGCCTCCCGCCCACGACCAGAACGATGCATAGAAATCTGCGGGCCCCTTCCAGATCCCGGCGCGGCCGTCCCCCAACCCGAGATCCGACGTCGCTGCAACAGTGCAACCTCACGGCACTTGCCATCGCTCGGACGTACACTCCCCGTGCATGTTACGATTTCGTGCGCGTAGTGTTTCGCAAGGTGCTCCACGATGCTCCTCGAGGCCTCCAAAACGTCGCCAAGGAGCCCCAAGAAACTCCCAAGAGGTCCCCAAGAGGCCCCCAAGAGGCCCTAAAGAGGGCTCCAGGGCCGGCGGCATGAGCGAAGCGATTCAATAAATGCACAAGCCCGAACGATGCCAAGGACACATTTGACCAATTTCTTTCCCGGGTAACGGGGCTTACCAAGAAGAGAGGGGGGCGGAATTCGGGCGGAACGGTAATGGTAACGGCAGCCGCGGCGTGCAATCGCCAGGGTGCATCGGCGCCACTGGCGCATCTATCGCCTGTGCGCACTACACCATGTAAGGGAGGGAGCCAAGCCACCCCGAGCAGTACGATCCTGCACGTTACCCTGGGGGTGTGGGGGGTTGGGGGTTGGCCTGGGTGGCGAGCGACACCCTGGGGAGGACAAACACCGCTCACCATCACCCCTTGAGCCCTGGACCCCATCTTCCTGCGTGAGGTCTGGAGCTGGCTGGAGGTATGCTGGCATTGGGGCCCGAGTCTGCGCGAAAACGCCCTGCGTGGAAGCTTGCGCAACGCCGGGGTCTGAGGGCACACCCGCCCGCGCAAGCCCACGGCGCCGACAGGCTCCAAGGCCTGCGGCACCCACGCGACCAGACGACCGAAATCGTCGCCTGCCCCGAAAGAGCCAGGGTGCACCAACTGCACGAGAGCCACGGACACGGAGGAGAGACCGCTAATCAGGGGCACACGCATGGGCGAGGAGCGCACGGGCTGGGCGAGGATGTCGAACCATTCGTCCGAATACGTGCTGTGTTGTGAAAGAGGGGCGAGGGATGAGTGCCGTCCTCTCCCTCCTCTGCCCAATCCTCTCCTCCCCTGCCGCAAGGAGCACCCCGAGGCCCTCCTGAGCCAGACCCTCTGGAATCGCGGATGGCGATGGTCAACGTGGCCATCTCCTGTGGAGGGGGGAGAGGCGCACGGATGAGGAGGCAGGGCGATGACGTTGAGGAGCAAGGCAGGGAGACAGGAGGACGTGGGAGGGGGATAGCAGACTAGGGAGGAGGACGGGAGCAGGGACGAGGCATGCTCTGGGGCGGAGGGGGGAGGCACGACGAACGGAGGGAGGAGGATGGCAGAGAGGGGCGCGAGGACAAAAGAAGGCGGGAGCAGACCAAGGAGGGGAAAGAGCCCCGGGTCCCTCCTGCCATTCGGCGGCAAGCCCGGGGGGAAGTGAGAAGGGGTGGGCCTTCTCAGAAAGCTCGAAAGTCTCCGGGCCTTCTGTGAAGTTTCCTACTCCGAGTTTCTTAATAAGCGTCGGGAGGGCGTCACCCCCGCTGACAGCCACACATCGACCGCCGTCGCGGGCAGCCACCGCGCGCCGAAGGCGCTCCGACCCCCGTCGCGGCGCGACGACGAGGCGCGATTGACCCCCGTCGCGGGGGTCCCCCCCCCACGCATATTCAGAAACCCAGAGAACCTCTCAGAAGGCGCGAGGGCTTCTGAGAAGCCCGGCCGCCTTCTGAGAAGGCCTTATGCTTCTCACTTGCCCCCTCGCTCGCCTTCGAACCATGCCTGGGGAACAAAAGAACGACGTCACTGGCATGCCTTGGACCTCTAAGCCTGGGCGCGTCTCTGGCCAGGATTCCGAGGGGATGGGCAGCGACTTCGGTGCTGTATCCCTTCCTCGTCTGACTTCAGGGCGAGGATACAATCGGGTGAGGATACATCCCGAGGGGTGTATCTTGCACTAACTGTACTTTTCGGCGCAGTGTATGTGTGTGTGTCTGATCGAATTCAGCGCGGTCATCGTCCACGCCTTCCTCCTCCAGGCGCCCGCTGCTCGAACGTCCTCCGGGGCGGGAGGCGAACAAGTCCTGCGACCATCTGACCCTCTCTTCCCCCCCCTCCTGTTCCCTCCTTTCCGCCTGTCCTCTGCATCCTCTTCCCCCTCCTCCTCCCCCACCAAGTCGTCATCCTGCGCAAGGTTCCTCCTCATCTTCCTCCTCCGCAAGACTCTGCCTCTCTGCAGTAGCAGGGCACGTGTCTCAGGAGACGAAGCCGACGGAGTCCCAGACCACGTGCTCCTGACCGATGGTCGGCATGAGCATCAGTCCTCCCTGGATGAAAAGAAGATGCTCCATGAGCAGACGTCCCAGATGACGTCGCACGGCTCGCAGCTGCCGCAGTCGAGCAGCCACCTCCCCTGAATGAAGAGCTCGTGCTCGTGCCACCTTCGATGTCAAGAGCCAACAACATGTCGACTCCAAAGAGCCAACTGCGCAACACACGCGAAACGGTCATGCACGCAATAGTGCGGGATGACGCCGATGATGGCATCGTGGGCAACGACTGCGACGAGGTGCCGTGCGCGACTCAGGGGACAAACCATAGCCTGGACGAGAAGCACCACGACCCGCTCGCCGGCCGCCCAATCCATCACGCCCGACAGCACGCCGAGCATGGTCACAGGGCTGCCGCCGCGAAGCCCTGCCGCCATCGCCCCAAGCGCGCCAGTCTGCTCACCCACAGGGCCGTCGTCCGTGGAGAGGGGGGGGCACACCCCAGAGGGAAAATCGGCGGCGTCGCCTGCAGCGTCGGGGGCTGCTTTTCAGACGGCCCGAGGCCCCGCAAGCTCCTCCTCCACCTGGCTCGCGGGGCGATCTACGGGGAAGTAATGGCCGCCGTGGAAGAACACCGTGGCACCGCAGGTGCACGTAACCTAAGGCCTCCCGTAGCCAGCTCACCAGGGAGTGCAACAGCATCCCCTTCGAAGGCCCCCCTGGAAACCACCACGAAACCAGGGTGGAAATCCGGGGCCTCCACGCGCGAGAGGGGCACAAACTGATCATCGCGAACACAGTGCGCGCTGGATTTTGGTATGTCTGGTTCGTCTCGGTCTGGCTCGCAGGAATTCGGGTTGTGCATTCCACAGTTTGATGTCACATGCAAGCATCGACTGCGCGCCGCTGAATTAGCTCAGGTACCGCAGGCGGTACCGCAGGCACTTACTTCTATCAGCGCAGGCGCCGCACATGGTGTCGCTGCAAAGGCACCGCGGGCGCATCCAAGAATAAAGTCCAGGCATCGCCTGCGCATCTGAGCGCGATCGCAAGCACCGCGGGTACGTTTGCGTCAACCGACAAGCCCAAACAAAGAAAACGAGTGAAGCGAAAGGGAAGGAGGGGAGCGCCGCGAAGGGCAGTGCCACAGGCGGCGCTGCGCCGCGCGGGTTGTGCCCGGGGGGGCGCGCGCCCCTCATCACCTTGCTGGCACGGTTTCGCCCCGTTATGGCTTGGCGATACCAAGATGAGCTGTGGTCCAACAGTGCGAGATATGATGGGACATGTGTTTGCACAGCTCGCTGCGATGCGGGATTGCATGTATTTGAATATATGACCACTCACACTTGCTAATGCAATTTGCGTGTGCGCACCGTCGGGTCTCCAATGTTATTACCGAGTGTATGTTCAGGAATGGTTTGCGAGGGTCACATACATCTACATACATCACTCTGGAGTGTCCTGCGTGCATGCATCATGCGGTTCTGACGTGATACACGACTTGATAGCAGACCAAATGCAGCCACCAATTGCCCATACAACTTTGTACACGATGGACTGTAAGACCAATATATGCCCGCAGTCTCGGACACTAACTAGAAGAATGCGTACAACAGAGATTCCAAGTGGTGGGCAGCCATATTCCTCCTGGCAGGGGCCAACCGCTCGATCGGGAGCCGTTCCAGCTTCGCCAAGAGAACTGGTCCGACGCGCGCCAGGCGGCCAAATGGGCTTAAGGCCACCAGGCGCCCGGAGAAGGTCCGAGAGTTGCATCTCCGTTCTCTGACCGCCCCCCTCTGCAGTCTGCAGCAGCCAGCGCGCGACGACCCGCGCAATGCATTTTCAGCCTGTGACCGTGCGATCCGCACAGGGGACCCACTGCGCACGATCTCAGCAAAAACGCACAGGTGCCGCCGGCCAGCCATGTGAGAAGACAAAGGACGGGCTCCAGACCGTGGACAGAGACAATTCCCTTGGCCAGGAAGTTGCAGAGATGATCGGCATGTCCAAGCACAAGTCAAAAGTGGCCGTTTCCTACCTTGGCACGGATTTCGCGTGTGGCAGGCGTCGTGCTCATCCTGGTGCGGCTAGGAAGAAGAGGACTCGGCCGAAGAAATCCAAGAAGAGAATCAGCAAGGCGTCCAAGTTTCGCTCGATGCGGAAAGCAGATGTTCGTCTCGGTCGGATCTGTACGACGGGCATCAAGATGGCAGCTCAGTACGGCGTCGAGATCAATTGAGTTGACGATCAGGAGCTGCTCAACCTTCGTAGGCAGGCCATGTCTTTCCTGGTACCCACGACGGGAGGTGCCAGTCTGAGCGCCAAGCTTGCTTTGCATGGTGAGCCTGCTGTGCGCGAGGCGATGGGGCCAGCGCTCCAGTGGAGTAAAATGATCTGGCAGGCAGTTGCTTTTCCCGATGAAGCGTTGCTCAGTTTGACTGAATTAAAGCGCATGTGGGACCAAATGTTTGTCGCATGAGCTGTCTGGCTCCACGTGGGCCCACACCGGAGGCCCGATCGCCAGAGTGCCGCTTTGCCTCGCCCGTGAAAGGTGGCGTCCCGCCTCAGCCATTGCGTGGGTCAACCAGGATGGTATCACGATCCAGCTCACCCAGTGCTCTCCTGCAATGCTAGATAGGATATTCAGCACTGCGTTCCAGGATGCCCATGCGAGGGCGCTGGGGGTGAGGTGGGGGTTTCCTGAAGGGGCGATGGCTAACTTGGACGTAGTCAGAAGCTGTCTCAGGACTAAGCCAAAGTTTTCTAAGTGCCAGGAGTGTTTAGTTCGCGCTGCCATATGCGAGTGCCTCTGGACAGAGCAGGTGGCACATGACAACGGTTACTGCACTGCGCGCGCTGGCTCGTGTGCATGTGGAGAGCCCGACACTGTTCATCACAGGCTCTTCTGCTGCACCCTCCCTGCAGTGGCCACCGCTCGGGCGGAAGCTGAGGTCCCTGAGTCCTTCATTGAGGCCGCCAATGGGGACCCTCCTAGCTTGCTCCACAGTAAAGGTGTCGTATCGATTCTTCCAGACGACGTGCCCCCTGTCCGCGAAGCTGCGGTCGCCCAAGTATTGAATGGAGATGGTGAGTTCTTCCCTCAGTTGGAGGCTGAGGAACCCACCACCTTCGAAGGCAATGCCGAGCGACTGCACATCGCAGTTGACGGCAGCAGCACCATGCCGATGTCGGCTTGGTTTCAGCGCGCTGCCTTTCCGGTCGTTTTGTTCGACCCCGAGATCGAAGCCACCCTCTCAGTGGTGCGTGGCACTGTGCCTGGAGGTTTCCCACAGGCACCAGCTATGGCTGAACACTTCTCGCTCGCGGTAGCCTGCCAGATCGCTGATCGTAGTTCGAAAGTGCATGCAGACTGCAAAACAATGATCGCCCAGGCGATGCTCCCCCAGCATCAGCAGGTACGTGCCGGAAATGTGTTCGCAGGAGTTTCAGCTTTTGTCAGGTCTCTCGAGGGATTTGGTCACGTTGACTCCACCCAGCATGTGAAAACCCATCGGAACGAGGACGCGATAGGTAACCTCCCGCCTGCTCTTCGTGCGCCAGCGCAAAGTAACCGCGCTGCCGACCTGCACGCGAAGGAAGCGATTCGCCTCCACCAGGATGTAGGACCCGAGGCTGCCACCCGACTCGAGAGCGAGGTTGCGACGGCCGCGAATGTTGTCAAACTTGCTGCTGCTGCTGTGCTCCCTGCCTTCCAGTCGAGAGCGAAGCGTGAGCGACCCTTTGCCCGCCGTCGGTCGGTCCAGTCGACCGCAGGATGGCACGAATGGGAAGAGGGACCGCTCGGTACGCAATGCAAACAGTGTTTGAGGATCGCCCACGAGGGTGCGTCCCACGAGGCTCTGGGTTGCTCTGGGGCCCCTGAATTCGTTTGTCAAATCGTCCGCCGTTCCCTGGGGCACCTGATTGTGGGTGTGGCCCTCCACGAGATCCATCCCAGAGCTCCAGAGCCGTCAAAGTCTAAGGCTAATCGACTGCAGTGTTTGTGTGTTCGTTGCGGGTGCTGGGCCCAGCGGTGCTCGCGAAACCTTGACAAGGCCTGCCTGCGGCCAGCAAAGAAAGGTCGTGAGGTGATCAATAAGTACCGCCAAGGTCTCGGCCCCAGCAATCGAGTATGACAATTTATTGATCGTGCTGCTGCGGTTTCAGCGTTGCCTGCGGCTCCGAAGCCGCGGTACAAGACCCTCGCTCGCACCGCTGTGCCGACTGCCCACTCGAGCGCATCTGCCGTCCCTGAATACGAGAGACGGCTGGTGGCCTCGCTGTGCGAGTCTCTGCCAAGCAAGCGCTCAGGGCAGAATTGTGGTTTCAGGTCATGGCACCCCGTCGCGGGCCCTGTCCTCAGGGTAACCAATTCTTCTCTGAGGGGTGCCACCGATCTATTCGCTTTGACTTGCTAGTCTCTTCCCTCTGTCCTAACCTAACCTCCTCCTTAACCTGAAAACCTGCAAGCAAACACGTCTGCTAGACGTTGCCCTCCTTTTCCTCCTCCTCCTCCTCCTCCTCGTCCCCCTCCTTCTCTTCCCTCGTCCCAAGCACTGGCCAGCTCCTGCTCTAGATCCATTGTCTTTTTTTCGTACCGCGACACTAACACGGACAAGAAGTTGTTGTGCCTCCGGAGCTCGTCGACCTGCGCTTTAAGAAGACTTGGCACAAATGGAAGGGGCACCACTGAGCCGGGGGCATGCGATGCTACTCTGCTCGTCTTCGTCGTCCCGTCGTTATTTTCATCCACTGCCCCCCTCTTCCCGCATCGTCCCTCCTCCCTCCCCCCCCTCCTCGAACCTCCTCCCCCTCCTGCCCCCCTCCAACATACACTCCTCATTTCTCCGGCCGCATCCTCCTCCCGCACCCTCCTCCGCCCCCATCCAGTTCATATGGAGCGAACGAAGAGGACGATGTACCATCTGCATAAGGCGGCTCAAGAGGCCCCAATGAGTCCCTAAAAGGAGTGAGAGGTAAAGGTTAAGGGCTTGCCCACGGGGCAATCAGCTGAGAACCCTACTCTTAGGATAACGTCGGCGACGTATCGAGGTATCCCACAACTCATCCCTTGATGGCAAGCGGCGAACTCTCGCCATCAGGCAGCAGAGTAAGCCCTGGCGAAGTCTTTTCCTGTGTGGCGCGGCGGGGCTCGCATGGCACCCGACCACGACCGACCCCTCCCTCCCCCCGACGTGCGCCCAAGGGAGGGCACCCCAAAGCCTGGAACCCCTCACCGCGGCGGGTCTCAGTCGGCGGCGAGCCGGCAGCCACGTTCCCGGGCGAGCCGCCGCTCCTGGGAGGAGGAGGAGGAGGAGGAGGAGGAGGAGGAGGAGGAGAAAGAGGAAGTGGAGGAAAACGAGGAGGAGGAGGTCCCAAACAAGAAGGAACGTCAACGGTACCGAGACGAGCAGCCTGCACGGCACGGAGAAAACGGATCCGACACGCCCAAAGGCGGCAAAACTCGAATCCGAACCGAGCCGAGCAGGACTTACGAGCTCGTCGATGACTGCCAAAACTTGGCCTGCAACCTGGCCACCAGCGCATCCATTCGAGGATTCCGAATGAGCGTGGCAGTGACGGAGGAGGAAGAGGAGACGTCCGCCCACCCAGCCGTCCCACCCACCACCCGCCGAATGAGGTCGCACTCGAGAGGGGTCGGCGCCTGGAGGGTCTCCTCGCGTCGGCGCGAGTGCGGATGAAGCCCTGCCTCCAGGCGCCGTCGGTCATACGCCCGCTGGGGCGTAGAGGAGGGGCGACAAGGCTTGAAAAGAGCCCCACTAGACCTCTCCTCCGCATACGCCCCACATTTACAACAATACACTAGGACCTGGTCACGTGCCGTCCAGCACGCTCTCAGGGAGTGGCCGCCCAACCCTTCACACTCACGCAGCTTTACAAGGAGCGGAGGGGGGCCTGGGCACTGATTGAGGGGGCGTTCGTCCTGCTCAGGGCACGCCCCAAGGCACCGAGCACAACGCAACTTCCAACTACCCACCCGACACCACTCGTGCCACGACACAACCCGCGTTATGCTCGGCACCTTGATCTTCTTAAAGGATGGGAGAGGGAACGCAGGAAGGACCGCCGCCGCCACACGGATGGCTGCGCGGAGGCGTTTGACCATTAGCCCATGCACCTCGTGGGAGGCGGGAGGAGCACGGGGGTGGAGGGAGAGGGCATCCTTGGCCAACAAATCGGCCAGTTGATTGCCACGCGCGATCCTTTCCTCAGCAGGTGGGAGCGCAGAGATGACTTCTTCGGAGCGATGGGCACGGGTATGACTAACGTGCCCAATATGTGTGTGTCCTGGATGCTGAAGCGCACCACGGCGCAGACCAGCAAAAACTTGGGAGCCGTCGAGCTGGGCGGGGACCGTCTTTTCAGTCAAACGCACAGCCCCCAAACAATCGGAGAACGGCCTGGTGGTCCCTGGGCCCCGTTGAAAAATGGAAAGCATGGCGAGGGCAAGGTGTTCGGCCGACGGAGCCGTCTGCGGTAGGGACTCCCACACCACACCCTGCATCCTACAACGTACTTCACACTGCTCAGAATTCTCAAGAAAGACAGCGGCATAGGCCGCTCGGTTGAGACAGGTGAATTCAGTTCGAGTCGCACTACCATCGACACAAACATCACATCCCGCGCTGAGTTCCTGGAAAGTCTCCTGGGGCACAGGGTGGCCCTGGGCATCCTGGAAGACAGGAAACAACTCGGAGGAGGGAGGAGGAAACTCGTCGGGGCGAGGTTGGAAAACCAGGAGCCTGGACCACAGGAGATCTCCGGGCTCATCACGCGCAACTGCTACAATCTCACTCGACGCCGCCTCCTCCCTAGCAGCGGCCACAGCAGGGCAGCACCAGAGACGATGATGAATTGAATCGGGCTGGGAGCACAAGGGGCAGAGACCTGTGGATTCAAAGCCATGCTGCACAAGGCGGTCCTCCGTCCACACGCCACCAGCAAAGACAGATGCGACTACATGCTTTTGCAGCGCCGAGAATTTCTTAGAACGGACAGCATTGACAATCAAATCAGCGGAGACTTCCTGTCCCTGCCCCTGAGTAAGAGTGGCAGCGAAGCTACGGGCATGATGGCGGAGAACGCTAGCATGCAATTGCTTGGCAAGCAAGGCAGGCGAGGTGAAAAACAAATCATGCTCGATCTGGTTGTCATCGAAGAAGGTCTTGAAGTTGGTGAACTTCCATCCTAGGCGATGCAAGCACAACATGACACGGTGAATGGGACCAGCACTCTTGCTCCACTGCGACTGCTGCAAGACAGGAAACTTCAAGGCTACAGCATCCCACGTTTTTTGCAAGAACCTCCACGATAATACCACCCGATCTGGTTGCACAATCGAGTTCCATACTGCCTTGGAATATTGAATGACGGGCGCCACTGCTACCTTCCACGCTGGGTCGCCATACAAGAGCATGCGAGCGGGTAACGAGCCTCCTCGGAACGGGACGAGGGCACGTCGTAACACCAGCAACTCTCTATCCGTCATGCCAGTGACAAGGGATCCATACGTAGTCGCAGGGCGCACCCCCGATATATATATCTTGTGAAGTTTCGCCTTGCCCACAGACATCCGTCGTCGTAAAGCACGGAGGAAGCCAACACGTCTCTTCATAGCTCGAAACCGTTTCTTCATCCGACACGTAGCACCAGGCGCAGCACGAGGGCGAGCAGGAGCCAGGTCAGCACCGAGAGCAGTGGCAGAGGTCGTAGCAACTGCTGAGCGAGCACCGATTCGAGCAAGCCGTCGATCGAGTTCTCGAACGACATCATGAGAGGACCCAAAGACCACTGCCTTGTCGTGGGCGAGGCCAACCTGGAGCTCCTCCCTATAGACGGTGACGAGGTCCTGGGCTGCCTCCACGAGGGCTGGTACGAGGTCTTCTCGGGGACCCGTCATGGAGACACAGTCGTCATCCACGTACACGCCGAGGTCCAAGCGGGGGTGCCGCGCCACGAACCCATCTAGGGCCCCGAGGAGATAGATCTGCACGAAGGCGTCATTGAACACGTCGCCAGCTGGCAGCCCAGAACTGGCAAACTGCACAAGAGGACAGTAGGAGGAGGACGAGGAGGAGGAGGAGGAGGAGGAGGAGAAGGAGGAAGTGGAGGAAGTGGAGGAGGAGGAGGTGGAGGAGGAGGAGGTGGAGATGGAGGGGGGCCCGAAGGCTCCTGCCTCCAACGGGGGGCCGGACCGAAATCCCCCCAGCCGCGGTGCGCGCGCTTCGGGCCGAAGGGGGGGGGGGGCAGCAGCAGGGAGCGCCGCATGCATGCCCGGGAGGCCCCGCCCACGAGCGCGCCCATGGGAGCAACGACTGGACGGCATGCTGTTCACGGATAGAGCGCGTGGAGCATACGCAGAAGGCATCTATACACCACCGCCGTACCAAGCCAGGGCCATCCTGGCCACGGCATGGTACGTACGCCTGGCACTGCGGTGGTGTATGGACGCCTTCGTCAGAAAACAGTGGTCCTGGTCTGCTGCCCCGCTCCTCCAGAACTCCTCTGGAACGCAGTCGTAGAACACAGCAAGACATCCGAAGCAGCACCTCATCCTGCTAACGAGAACGTCCCAGGAAGACACTGTGTCCACGGATACCATACCAGTGCCATGCAAACACAAGGGAGAAGCAAGGGCGGCAGCAAGGGAGACAGCGGCGGCGACGCCACTCCGACGTGCACGTGCTCTCCAAGCAGCATCCGCACCGTAATGTTCTTCCCGCCGGCGCGCTCCCTACCCCGCGCCTCGCCGCTCCGCCTTGGGCGCCTGCTTCCTCTTCCTCCTCCTCCTCCTCCTCCTCCTCCTCCTCCTCCTCCACCTCTCCCCCCCGTCCTCCCTCCTCCCGTCCTCTCCTACTCATCCTCCTCCCTCCTCTCCTCCTCCTCCTCCTCCTCCTCCTCCTCCTCCTACTCCTCCTCCTCCTTCTTCCCCTCCTCCTCCTCCTCCTCCTCTTCATACCTCCCCTCCATCCCTCCTCCTTCCTCCCATCCGATCTCTTCTCACTCCCTCCTGCTCCTTCTCTTTTCCCTCGTCGCTACGTCTTCACCCGTCTCCCTCGTCCTACCGTCTGCATCCAACCTCCTGGTCGTCCTCCTCCTCCACCTCCTCCTCCGATTCCTCCTCCTATTCCTGCGCCTCCTCCTCCTCCTCCTCCTCCTCCTCCTCCTCCTCCTCCTCCTCCTCCTCCCTCCCTCCTATTCCTATTCCTCCTCCTCCTCCTCCTCCTCCTCCTCCTCCTCCTCCTCCTCCTCCTTCTCCAACTCCCCCTCCTCCACGTTCCCCTCCTCCTCCCCCTCTCTCCTCCTCCTCGTCTCCTGCCGCGCCTGGCTTACCGGCGCCCACTGGCCGGCCCCTGCCCCCTCGGCGGCCTCGACCATGGGCGCCTGCTGGCTCCCCTGCGTCGCCTGGCCGGCTAAGCACGCGCGCGCGCCATCGGGGCGGCGGCGGCGGCGCAGAGGAGGGAGTTCCTCCTCCTGCTCCTCCTCCTCCTCCTCCTCCTCCTCCTCCTCCTCCTCCTGCTCCTCCTGCTCTTCCTCCTCCTCCTCCTCCTCTTCCTCCTGCTCCTCCACCTCCTCCTCCTCTTCTCCTCCTCCTCCTCCTCCTCCTCCTCCTCCTCCTCGTCCCCCTCCCCCTCCTCCTCCTCCTCCTCTTCCTCCTCTTCCTCCTCTTCCTCCTCCTCCTCCTCGTCCTCCTGCCTCCTGCTCCTCCTCAAAGGGGGGGGACTGGGGTCTCGAGTGGACCGAATAGTTGAAGCCAAACTCGGGGATGCATGACTGAAGTACATCCATCTCCGAGAGGGGTGCGTCCAGACAGCCCCCCGCCCCCTAAGGGGGATCCCTGAGTTCCCCCCCTTCGGGGGACACTCAATGATTGGGTGCGAAACATCGCTTGTGACCGGAGAGTCTGGAATGACTGTGGTAAGTCGAATAGCATCCGATTCCATGGGAAGCGGATGGCAGATAAAGTCCAATGCCATGCTGGGGTAGTTCAGTATGGGGAGCGGACGGATAAGATCTGATAAAATCGATGTAATGATCTTTCCACCACATAGTGAACACAAGCAGTGTCCGGGCAGATAGGGCGCGCGTGCCTTGAACCAAAGGCAACGGCGCGCGAGCTATACTCCCGATCCTATATAACATCTCCCAAAGAGCTACCCTTAAAGTCGGGAGGGGAGGAGACGGTGAGTAAAGCCGCGCAGCCGTTAAGCTCCACAAAGGCCGCGCGCGCGACTGTTTGCAAGAAAAACAGTACGTACAGTCTGGCCTAACACCAGACTGTAAGGCGAGTTTCCTCGCAAAGCATTTTCACGCATAGGCAAGATAGCCCCTTGGAGATCAAAGGGCTATCAGCCCGGCGAGAGGTAAGCCAAACAGGCTATACCTCCCCGAGCAAAAGGGCATTAAAGCAAAGAACCTGAATCAATCTGAACAGGCTCGTTGCCAAGCGTGAAAAGTAAGGCTCGTTTCCGAGCAACTAGGAGGGCACCTCTGTATTAGGCGCCCGTGCTTGCAGACTGGACCGCGGGGGCAACAAGGACAGACTAAAACTGATTGGCTTAGGCTTGTTTCTGCCCTCAGGACCCCGAAAGGGAACAAACTGCTTCACGTCGTACTTAAATGACTGAGTGCCTGACATCACTTCCAGAAGCAACCCCCGATCGATACTCCCCTTTGTATGCCCATCTGCGGTCATATCTCTAGTCTCACACCACTGTACGTTGTGCACTACACCTATATCCATGAGCTCACGTATCCAGCTGATATGTCCCAGCAGAGTCCGTTCCGTCGGTATCTTAAGATCTTTGCTGTATAGCGATTCGTATACAGACTGAGCGTCTATAGTAAGGGATACGTTAATGGCCAGGCCTCCAGCTTCACGCATATCTCGTAGTTGTCGTGGAGTAAGTGCCCCTGCCTTGAGCTCGTGGAGAGTGATGAGCGTGGGGTAGCATTCATCAAGAGTGTGTGCAGCTGCAAGTGCCTCAGCGACATAGATGGACCTGACCTGCAATCGGTGTGATTTGCATCGTCCGTCGCAAAAGGGGATGACGGATTTGCCTTGAGGCGAGTTTCCTCGCCGTAATAGGTTAGCCCCACGGATGCCGTAGCCCTTGGTCTCATCGTCTTCCTCACCGGTGAGCTTCCGATACCCCGAATCATTGTGTATGTCTACTTCGTTCGTCGGTGTCATCCGAGGGGAGGTGATGCGTTTCGGGCTGCTGATCAGCTTTCGCGTCACAGCATTCAGTCGTCTGACTTGTATGTCGGCGGGCTCTTGAATCTTCTGGAGAGAGACCACATACACCATAAGCCAGACTTGAGCAAGAAGGGCATAGGCGAGAGCTCCTCGCAGGCTAACCAACATGTCAGTGATGAGTTTGGTAGCTTTGGCGTCAGCCGCCGCTCCCGTATGTTCAGGGCGTGTGATAGGACGTAGTTGTTTAATGTACTCGTCCTGATCCATGATCACATCCCCTTGTTCATTCTTGGTGTAGCGAACGGCGCATTTCGTATAAGAATGTTTGTTGAGCTTGCATGTACCAAACACTTGTTCGACACGTTGTACATAGTCATCTACGTTTTTCTCTAGGCCTGTCATGTTGATATCGTCGACATGGTTTGCCGTTAACAGATCTTGACTGAATTCAAACTCAGGATCGTAACTTGTCGGTGCGAGGCCTATGGCTCGTGTGGTCGTACGAAGCTTAAGGGAAAACGCTATTGGGGCGTCCTTTGCACCCGTCCCTGGCCTGAGGCACCTGAGGCAGTGTCGGCTTGCATCGTAAGAAGAGAAGCCTGGTAGTGCACGAAGCACCTGGGCGCTTCCTGGTGGAAGGGTGAAAAAAAACCATGCGAGTTGCCTCGCCGTCGGCATGAGCAAGTTCCTCATAGGTTAGACCTTTGAGGAACGCTTTGTCGATATCCATAGATGCTAAGATCCATTCTGGATGACATGCCGCCTCGCTTGCCAGGAGTCTCTGGGACTGTCTTCGAGCAGTTCCTGAGAAGGTTTCTACATCAAACGCCTCCGTGCCCATGATTCCACGAAGGACAAGTCTGAGACTGATGGTTTTAACATTCTCGGCGCCTACCTTCACAAACTTCCACTTGCATACATATCTGGATGTCATGATGTTGGAAATTTTAGATAGGTCATACATCTGGAAGCACCGGTTATCAAGCCAGATCGTGAGCTCGGTGTACAAAGCGTCACTAACCTCTTTCGGGAGTGCTGATATATCGGCTTTGGTGAGAAGGTCGTCTTCCTTGACTACCGCAGCACATTTAGCAGCCGATGATACATATACTCTCTTCGATGCGACCATGTCAGTTTCAAGCTGTGCAAGTTGGGTCTGATCCAACGCTACCTTTGACATTTCTGGTGAGAAACTAACTCAACATAAGGACCATGTTCATCACTGTCAAGAGAATAGCCCTCGTCAGGTGTAGTCGAGCATAGAGAGATAAGACAGGGCTCTTGTGGTTCAGGCTCGTCCCCGAGCGTTTCCGACACTATGATCTCTTCCTCGTCCACGGATGCTGAGACCAGAACACATTGGTCGGGCAGCATGGTTGTTGGGACGCAGTAGAGATGATCGTCGGTAACCGTTGTGGGGCGAAGGTCCATGCGTAGTTCGTCGTACCACTCCTCCATCATCCTAGCCTCGATGTCATGTTCCTCATTTTCTTCGTAGATTGTAGACAGACGGCCTTCACCTGGTGATGAAGCACCTGGGGTGTCTGGTGGAGGCCTGTCTCCAGGCTGGTCATGTTCTCCAGACATTGTGCCCAAGTGCTGATACTTGGCAAGGTCGTCATGAAATCCTAGGGAGGGAACATGTGACGTCAGGCACTGGATGAGTCTGGAGTGAGTGCTACCAGTGATTTGAAAGATGTTCAAGCCGGTGCCCACGCACTCATAGTAGTGGAAGGCTGGGTTGGCGTCGTTGTCGTAGTGGATCAGTGTAGACCCGGTAGCGTACGTAACTGCAGGTAGACTAGACACGCTCTTGGCCAGTCTCACGGCTACTACACGTTCAACTCGGAAACAGTCTCGCACGATATACTGTAGTGCAAGATGTCGGCGCGGGTGGAACTTGCTGTCGTCCGACAGATTGAGGTTTCCCTAGTAGTCTGGAATATAGCCAAAGGCTTTGGCAGGTGTCCCTGCACCACGGTGTGCCACATATGTAAGGACGGTTTGCATGGCCATGTTGTCCATGCCAAGTTCCCTGGCAAGGAGGCATTCAATGTAAGGAGTGTGGCGAGCATCAGGGCGCATTACAATTACCTCACGTGATCCTGCCTTGACGACGACGTGTCCTCGTTCAGGCACGTTGCGGATCACAAGAAACGGGCCATTCCAGCCTCCACGGTCGCCCTTTGTGGCTGTAGGTCGGTGATAGTCGACCAAGTCCCCTGCTGAGTAAAGGCGAGCACCATCTGGGGCCGTCTTAGCCCTGAGAGCGCGATTTGCCTTAGCTACCGCCGTGGCTTGTGTTATTGCTTCCAGGCTAACTTCCCTCACACGGCGTGCTCGTTCGTGGCCTGACGTCTCGGGTCCCTTAGGGGAGCCAAGGGTGTCGAGGTCAGGAAGAGAGGAGGGCTGTCGCCCAGTGTGTGCTTGGCATGGCGATACTCCGTTGTAAAACGTGAAAGCGTTAGTGACGAAGATGTATTCAGCCAATACTCTAGTGAATACAACGGGGATGTTGTGTCTATTCAGCTCTTCCTCAATCATATGGAGGGTGCCCCTAAGAATGCCGTTGCGTGACTCGATCGAGGTCGCGTGTTGGCCAGGCGCTCGGATACGAAGCGTCGCAACCTTGATCGCCATCATGGCCTCGGCAGTGTCATTGTTGAGGGCGCCTTCTCCATCTGAATACAAGACTTTGAAGGGTCCACGATAGGCAATCCAGCAGTAGTGGTAGGCGTCGAGTATGGTGTCACGTTCTCTATCAGAAATCTCTTGGCCTGCTGCCAGGCGTATCCATCGGTCCATAAAATGAAATATGGCCCGTTTCTTGCAAAACATGAAATCTGCTTCGCCTTCGGCAAGCCAATTTCCAGGAAGGCTTACGGAAGGTAGCGTGGGATTACCTGGACGTTCCCATGCTCTACATTCGCGACATGTGTCACAGATTTCTTTGATCATATTTAGTTGAACGTTGTCCAGTCCCACTTTGTCTAGGATCAGCCTCATCTTGGGTTCCTTCGCATGGTGCCACCGCAAGTGCAGTTTGCGGAGATCCTTTTTGACTACGTGAGGTTCGTGACTACGGAAGTTTTGCAGACTATGGTGGATGTCAAATCTCGTCCAGTCGGGCAGTCGTGGAGCCTCCGAGCCGGTTGAGGCAAGAGGGTTCCTTGTGGCTCTCCGCAGTCGGTCTCCTGCGTCAACTGCATCTGG